AGCAGGTCTTATTCCCTGCTCATGACATTTCTCTCGCCAAATGCTGGACAGAAAAGCATTCCAGTTTTTATAGTACCAGCAGCTTCAAGCCACAGCCATGCCCAAGCAGGACCCCAGCCCTGCCTCTCCTGGTTCTCCCTGAAGCTCCTCCAGGGAACAAGGCCAACTCTTGCCAGGGCTAGTGCAGGCATGTTTCCTGACAGGATCCAAGCTTTAGGAGCCCAGAAAAAAAGTTCTTTGAGAACCCAACACGGACACAGAGCACTCACCCCTGAACAGTAAGGGCTAAGGAAAGAAACAGGTTATTTGAAGTATACAGAGGATCTAAAATTGAGGCGAAGGTTGTATCAGAATTGGTTTAAAGTCACAGATAGATTATTGGGTGACACAGCCCTAGTAGGCCACTGCAGAAGAATGAGGCCCACTTAGACCCTTTCCTATCCCAAACCTACCCTATCACTAGACCTGAGAGCCCTTGCGAGGACAGAACCCTGCTGGCGTGGCCAAGGTCCAGGGCTCCAGGTAACAAATCCCATATCCCTTCTGGGCCTGTTTCTCCTCCATCAGGAAGGCAAAGGATTTGGGACTAGGTGTGAGACTCGGTTCTCTGGAGCCATAAGATGTCACAGAGGTTTGGGGTGCACAAGGTGACCCTGGATGATGTGGACAGGTAAGTCATAACAGTCCTAGTTATAATTATTTTTGCAGCTTAGGATTCCATGTAAAATCTTGTTTTGGAACATGGTTCTGCTGCTAAAAATGAATTTGACAACCCTGAACCAGATTCTCTGTCTCAGGTTACATTACATGGTGGTATTTCCTGTTAAAACCTACATCCAAGACAGGGGCTGTGACCTGATCCAGGCTGGGAGAGGGGGACTGGGGGAAACAGAGGAAAGGTGCTCTGGACAGTGCCTCCCACTGTATTTTCATCCTGCATCTTCTATTTGTGTGTGTGTGTGTGTGTGTGTGTGTGTGTGTGATGTATGTGTGTGCTTGTAAGAATAGGATTTTTTTCAAGTGTGAACAGAAACAGAACTCCTGCAGGGCAACAGGGGACCCAAGAGGGGTTGCCCTGTTCTACTTCTGTTCCCACTGAAGCTACTCTGATAAGTGCCCACTTGCTTCTGGCTGGTCCAGGGCAGCCTCCATCTAGCTTCCCCATCTCACCCGACCCTCTGAGTGGGGGGGTTTATGAACAAGGAGATCTGCGCGGAGTTGAGCGTCCCTGCCTCCCCACCTCTGTCCCCCATGCCACCTACAGTGTCGCAGCTCCTTCTTGAAGGCCTTGTGGTTCCCCAGCTCCTCCAGGAAGACCTGGCCAACTTTTCGGAGGATCTCAGAACTCTTACTGGTCAGGAACCAGCCGAAGTAGAGTGGCAGGAAGTCCTTCTCCAGCCCAGGCTTCAGCTTCTTCAGATCATCGGCTGACAGCTGCCACTGGTTCTTCTCTTTGAGCTGGGTACAGTCCAGCCGCCACGTTGTCTTGGGCTCCACCAGCACCACTTGGTACTGGTACTGGTCGGCCAATTCAAAGAGCTGCTCCAGGCGCTCTGGCTCGTGGTTGGTGTCGTCTAGCACGAGCACTCTGATGTTTCGGCGGCAGTAGGCAGCCAGGTCCTCGTCCAGCCGCTTGTACTCCTCGGAGAAGGCTCCTCGGGCGCCGGGCGTGATCTTGTAGGCATCGGCAGACACCATCTTGGTGCCATCGTGGTATTTATCCACAATGACCCGGGACAGCGTGGACTTGCCGCTCCCTGGCAGCCCTCGCAGGATGAAAAGCGTCTTGCACTCGTGCAGTGTGGCCACCGTATCCTCATCCTGAAGGAAGGGAAACTGCAGCTCGGGCTTGTCCTTGGCCCCGGAGGATGACATCTTTCGAAAGAAGATCTTGGGCAGGAATGTGTGGCTCTTTCGGGAGATGCTTCTGTTCTGTGTAAGGAGGGAAGGGATGTCAGCCCAGGTCTCCTGCAGCCAGCCCAGCAGCCCCTTGTCTCTAGCCTAGGTCTAGAGAGAAGCCCCGGCTCAGGAATCTCTGGGCCTGACTTGAAGCACCCTTGGGTGGTGGGTGCCTTCCCCAGGCAGACCAGTGGTGGGTGGCCTTTTTCTCCCTGTAGGTCTGTGTGGCACAAGAGGGAGTCTGTCTGACGCTCCCTAACCTCTTACTCTGCTGGCCTCAAGGATCATCCACTGCTGCCTCTGTGAAAGGGAAGTGCATGCAGGGGAGGCTGAGGCCTGTGCATCCAGGCCTGGCCCTAACTTTTATATTCCTGGCACCTCTTAAGGATGGATGTTCCCTTTGGAGGCTGGGGACTATGTCTGGGCAAAGACACAGCTGCCCTGGCTGTGTGTGTGCGCAAAAAAGAGTGTGGGGGTGGAGGAGGGTCACCCAAAGACCGCCTCCCTTCCCCCAACAATGGCAGCAACAGATAATACTCTCTTGTCTGGTATGGGGGGACAATGGTCCCACAGAGGGCTAGTGGGGGGCAGGGCAGGAGAGCACTGGACAAAGGGCCTCATTCACTGCCTACCATCTCCTCCTCTGCCCTCTTGCAGGCCCCCTACAAAGTCGAGGTCTTTGTGCCTGCTCTAGGACTAGGAGGCACAAGACACCTGTGTTCAGGATCTAGTTCTGCCCTCCATTTTGCTGTGTGCCAGCAGCACCTCTCTGAGCCTCTTCTTTTCCTGCTTGCTAAAAGCAACAAGTGACTAACAGTTTTTACTGTAAATATCTTCCCCGCACTGGCTCTGCCTCCCATCTGCATCCTGAGAGATTAGGTGGCCTACTATTCCATCAGAAGGAGACTTGGACAGGCGCAGTCAGCTATCTTGGGGCTCGTGGGTCCTCTAACCCAGACCCAGGTCCACCTTCCAGCTGGGTGTCCCCCAGGAAGCAGCAGTTGCTGCCTTTCCCAAATTCTTTCCTCCTAAATATCACCGTTTCCCTTCTCCATGGGCGTGCGCGTTCCCCCAAGCTTCCCCCTACCTTCGGGCTGCCCTGGAGTCACCAGAAAGCTGGAACTCAACTCCGGAACTTCGGGTCCTCATTTGCATAGCACATCCTCCCAAGAATCCTCAAATACTCTCGCTTTCCGTTACAATACCACCCCCGCCCACCCCGCGCCCGGCCCGGCCCTCTCTCCCGTCCACACGTCAGCTCACCATGATGAGTGGGGGGCGCCTCCGTCCCGCCTTTGCAGGCACTAGCTCTCCGGGGCCACCCGCCTGCGCGAGGGACACGGCGTCTCGCGGTGACCCACCCCAGGCCCGTCCGCTTTACATAGCCTGGGGGGCGGGGCTTCGGCCGACCCTCTGCGCAGGCGCCGCTAATCGAAACTCAAACCTCCCTCCGCGCCAGGAAGGAGCTCCAGGCCCTGCCTCGCGCAGCTGCACACCTGGGCTGCACCTGCGCCCCCGGAGCCACCGATCGGCCTCTTCTGCTTCAACATGTTAATGATTAATTCTTCTTTCATTTTCTTGTGCTGGGGTGTGAACCCAGGGCCTGGTGCATGCTGTCACTGAGCTAGTCCTCAGCCCCCATTAATGATTAATTCTTGAACTAGGGACCTAATCACCTTTCCCCATCAGCCCCATGGAATTAGGATTCAGTGAGAGAGATAGGGTCTAAACTGCAGAATAGGATCCTGTCTTTAAAATTTGATATCTGTCGTGCATCTTTGCATTTATCCATTGATTTTTGCAACAGTTCATTAAAACTTGATCTGTGTGGTTGGGGTGTAGCTTAATGGTTGAGCTACTTGACTAGCATACAGGAAGCCTTGGGTTCCATCTCCAGCACCGCATTCAATCATAATAAAAATTTTAAGAGGCTGGGGCTGTAGCTCAGTGGTAGAGCGCTTGCCTAGCATGTGTGAGGCACTGGGTTTGATCCTCAGCACCACATAAAAATATATAATTTTTTTAATATTTATTTTTTGGCTGGACACAATATCTTTATTTTATTTATTTTTATGTGGTGTTGAAGATCAAACCCAGGTCCTTGCGCATGTTAGGCGAGCACTCTACCAATGAGCCACAACCCCAGCCCATAAAAATTTTTTTAAATGAAAATTTAAAAATTGTTGAGTTTTTGGTCACTGCGATAAATTTTTGCAACCACCTCACATTTCCTGAACATAGTCCTGACTCCGATTCAGCAAAAGTCAGCCTCATCCCTGACCCAGGACCACCGTGGTAAAGGAATTACCCTCATTGGCCAATTGCTCAGCCGCCACCTCCTCGGGAAAGCCATTGAATGCTTGGATTTTGTTTCTTTGCACTCATAATCCTCAGGTCAGTCCTGGAGGCAGGTTCCTTATTGTACAGAGGAGGAAACAAGCTTCAGTGATTTACTTGATTGGACCACCCAGAGGTGGCAGAGGTGGAGTCCCTCTGGTGGAGTCCCCAGGCTCCCCTGCTATTCTGCGTCAGAAACCATCTCTCTTCCTCTGGGTCCTTAGAGCAACTATCAGCACCAGCTTCCCTTTGTTCCCTTCATTCTGCTTTGGGGCCTAGTCAGCCCACAGTATGATTGCTGATGATGGCCGAGGCCTTTCCAGCCAACACTGATCCTTCCTGTGGTGTGGTCTTCCAGTCCTGCACTCAGTAAGTCCTTGCTGGGTGAATCAGAGGCTAGGAGCTGGGTAGACACACCACTACTCCCAGGCTGTTCTCTTTTCCTTCTCCCTTAGAACTTTCTGGTTTCCAGTCTAGCACGGTGGCACAACCCGGGAGGTTGTGGCAGGAGGATCACTAGTTCAAGCCCAGCCTCAGCAAGGCCCTAAACAACTTATTGAGACCCTGTCTCAAAATTAAAAATAAAAAAGGGTTGGGGACATAGCTCCGTGGTAAAGTGTCCCTGGGTTCAATCCCTAGTACCAAATAATAATAACAACTGTAACTTTCTGCTTCTTCACCTGTCTGAGATTCTTACTAGCACCTTTCTCATTTCTTCCATGAGGCCTTCTGAAAACGGGTGGGAGTGAGAAGACAAAATGATATTTAGGGTTTGCAAAAGTGAAAGATACATATTTAATGAGAAATTAGTGATAGAGAGAGGTAGAGGTGACCTGTGGGAAACTGTTTCCCATCCCCCCCCCCCATCAAAAACACATCTCAGCTTGAAAATCCAGTTAAGAGAGTCATGGCCCTGGAGCACCAGCCTCCTGCTAATGCCTGGTAAGGCAGGCTTCACTCTACTCCTTTTCCATTTCTTGGGCAATTTTTGTTTCCTCCGCTTTCACTTCTTCTTTTTCTTCTGTTTCTCCCGGTTCTTTCTCGCCTGAACTTACTTCGGAAAGTCTTTTCTCCAGTCTTTCTGAGGCCTTTGTGCTTAATTCTCCTCCGGAAATCTCTTGGTCTAATTCTGAAGGCCGCCTGTAAATTTCCCTGGACTCTCTCCTGTCCACCTCCAGCAGCGTCCTGCCCTCCGACACTCTCCTGGAATCTTCCCTGAAGCTTCTTCTGGCCTTCTCTGCCTTCTGTCTCTGAGAATCGTCCTTGAATTCCTCCTCCTCCTCGGTGTCTCCGGTGTCTCCGTCGCTCTCCCCTTGCTCCCTTTCCCAGCTCTTCATCACCTTCTTGGTATCCTCCCTCTCTTTCTTCCCTTCCTTCTCCTTCGCCTCCACTGTTCTGTCTTCATTCAGGGCAGGGGCCTCTTCTGAAAAACAGCACAAAGAAGGGAAGAGAGGTGAAAGCCTGGTCATCACTACGTCTGTGGAGGCCTTTGCTCCTGAGAGAAAAGCCCCAGACTCTTTTCACATGCTCCTTCCCCTGGTGTTGATGGAGCCCTGCCCCAAAGGAGGAAAGGGGACCATCACTCCTTGATCACGCCGCCCCACGTGGCAGCATGTGAGGGGCCAACACCCTTCCAACAGGAAACTGCAGTGTTGGAATCTGCAGTCGAAGGACTCCAGACCCGCAAAAGAAAATCACACGATGGTCACTGCAAGCACAGAAGAGTCGAGCTGAAGGTCGGATGGTCCAACCCAAGAGCCTGTGTTCTCTTCCCTCCCTTCCCTGTGGAAAGTAGCATAGGTGCTGGGAAATGACAGCAGATTCCTTTCTCCAGTATCCTCATTCAGCCATATTCTCTTTGTCTCTGGGAAATATATATATATATATATAT